GTTGAGTACTAGTTAATCTTACTTTGCATCTCCTTTCTGGCTCACTGCTTCTCTGAAGAAATGAGGCATGAGTTGCAAAGGAGCATCCTTGAATGATGCGGTTGGTCCATGGAAGATTTCCACCAGATGTTGATTTCCTTCTAGATGAGTAACAGGTACCACATCCTCTGACTGGAAGGCATCTGTAGTGTACGCCTTCTGGATCATTCCATTCAGTACTCGGGGGTGAAGGTCAGCAGGGTGGATCCATTGCTCCAGGATGCGCTGAGCTCTTTGTTGGTAGGTGCAGGGGACGAGACGCTCCCACTGCTGCAAGGTCATCTGTGGGAGTGGTCCTGAAGGAACGAATAGTCCACCATCCTCCGCCAAACCCTGCAGGACTGCACTTAGAAAGTCCTTCCCCAAGCTCTTGCCACTACTCCTCGTTGAAACGTATGGACTGTGGTTCTTTAATCGAGCCACAACTTCAACAATCTTTCCAGCGATGCTCTCTTGGGTTTCGTTAGCCTCGCAGATAACGCGTGCGTTGTAGGATCTCTCGTAGAAGTGTTGCCTGTATGCTAGGATCTCTGTCATTGATACACCTGCCTCTTGCCCTACGATCCGATTGACCTTCATTGCCTCTAGCCTCTGGAGGATGTCCTCGTTCTTGACGTCCAGGAACAAGACTGGGCCATGATTAGAGATGTGAGCCATAGCTTCATCATGCATGGCATTGGAGCCGGTCAGTGTCACCACTGTATCGGATGGAGGGGTAAAGGTGAGAAGCGCTTGCCCCTCTGCTTCAACAAAATTATCTCCTCCGACTTCAAAGAGCTACATGGGGTATCAGCAGGAAAGGTAAGGAAAGAAGGGTGAGAGACAAGTGAGGGAGAAAGTGAGAGCAAGAGAAAGAAACAAGAACATAGACAGAGATTTAATAGGAGGGAGTATGAGAGAAAGGGAGCAAGGAGAGAGAGAGACAGAGAGGAAAAAGGCATGATTATTAAAAAACATAATAACTTTGATGCTATTGATGAAATTACGTATATGATGTAGTTGTTATAGTTTTAAAACGGAAATGGGGTCCCGATAGTACTCTGGTGTTAAAAAATTGTGTTTAAATTACTTTACAGAACAGGCTCTGGAATGTAGCTGATCTAATTGGTCAAATGACACCACGTGACTGTGCAAATTCATTTCTCACCATGCTAACCATCCCATCAAAAAGAGATAGTCCACTGTTAAAAGTGATGCACACATGCATATATATATCTCTGACACTTACACAAATAAGACGAGGTGAAATGCATGCACTCTCATATGGCTAGCCTTGTGCTGCGCATGGCATCACTTGTGTGATGTCTTTCAAAATAAAAGCAAATAGCATTTGTATTACAACATTGATAACAAGAATCAAAAGATGATAATCCTCTTTTGAAACTAGAAATATAGATTGGAATCAGCAAGAGAGAGACAGAGAGAGGATAGATAGATAAAAGAGAGGAGAGTCAATTTTCCCCAACTTATATTGGAAGAGAATTAAAGGGTGTTAGTTTCTTCCAATTCGTCATTGCACTTTTTAAAGAAAAATGAATGCCATTGTGGGATATTATGAACTACATGAAAACATAAGTGTTACTTACCTTTTCACTGACTGGCATACCCCAGACAGATTCTAGTACGTCATTGTCAACATCTAAGACATCCATACCAAGCTTTCTACCAACAATCTTCCCCACGGTGGTCTTGCCTGCTCCAGGGCTACCATTCAACATGATGTTGTTGCTTTCCTGCAATCATGAAAAATAATTACTAGAAAATTACCTCACTGCGCATTTGTGAAAGAAACCATATCAGTCAATTTATACCTGCCAATATAGGGTCTTCAATTCTTAGGCATTTCATTACATATTGTAATTTGCGTATGAGGACAATTCCCCCCCCCCCCTGGAAATTACCCCCGTTATAGGAAAAATACGCCTCTCAAGGACAAATACACCTCCAAACATTACCCCTGTTTACTAAAGGGGAAGTCCATGCACCCTGTTAATAAATTGGTTTTAAAATTTTCCGGGGGTAATTGTCCTCGAGGGGTGGTTGTCTTTGGGGGTATTTTTCCGGAGGACCCGGGGGGGGGGGGGGGGTAATTTTCTGGAAGTAAATTTCTAGAGGTAATTTGTACATCATAAACAAATTTTTGCGTGCATATTATTATTGATATTGTTGTTGTTGTTGTTGGTGGTGGTGGTGGTGAATCAATCAATCATGCAAAATGGAAAATATGACAATACATGAATTGTGGTCTAAGGAAATGATTATTGACTCAATTGTGATTGACATTACTGACAATGTTTTCAGTAAGTTTCTTTTCAACATTTTTACCCACCTTATGTCTGTTTCGTTGGTTGGTACTACAGGATTTGGTGGATATGACACTTGTTCCCTCTCGATGACACGTTAACAATAACCTGTGGAAACCAACCGATTGCCTCGAGCGGCAACCAGCCGCTTTCAACCCCGCCCGACCGGCGTGGAAGCGAGCCAGATGGCCGTACCTATGCAGCATCATAATATGAGCGCTCCTGCAGAGTAAAACACAAAACAATATCGTGACAATACTGTTCGCATATGCTAAATAAATTATTTTTTATACTAACAGCAACGAGAATTCGTAGATAATGTAACAATTCATTCAGAGAGACACCACGCAAAATAAAGGAACTGAAATATAATCACCTCTCTTGTCACGGTAAGAGAACTCCACCTTCCTCGTCCACGTTGAAAAGTTTATATTGTGTATGGCAAGCCGTACGTATGGAAAGCCAAAAGGGGTAAAAAAAAAAAAAAAAATCGATCCCTGCGAAATATAATGAGTCAATATCAAAATATATTCAATGTTTACAAAGAAATATATATGCGCAATTAAAATTTATTCGATGTATATAAGAAATACATGTGTTATCAAAATATATTCGATGTTGATAAAAATATGTGCCTTATCAAAATAATATATGTTTATAAATGAATAAATGCCGGATAAATGCGCTTTTAAAAAAGAGATGTGTAATGATTGTGCAATGTTTAAAAATTATAATATGTGTGCTATCAAGATATATTGGATGTTTATAAGAAATATTTTCGTTATCAAACTATATTCGGTAATTTTAAAAACACACTAATACCAGTCTTTTAAAAATGATTACCCCCCCCCCCCCCCCCCCCAGAATTTCTTTGAAATTATCTGATCTGGTAGAGTTTGTCACTCTCGCGATATATAGTGCGTTTTTAAAAAAGTGTACCCAACTTTGGTAGCTTCTAATTTAAAAGTTATAACCCATGTGACCTTGAATCATATGTTATTATAAAGAAGAACTAATACACTGTCGCTCATAAAGTTGGAATATTTTTTTTTTACCCCAATTTATGGAATTATTTTAAAAATAATTAAAAAATAATAGATCTAGATAATAGTATACATTCTCATATTTTATTGAATAATAATTTGACAATGTGTGTTTTGCGTGACTGCTAAAGCATGTGTATGCTTTTATGTTGATCAATTAGGGGACCTACGCCCTTAAGTCATAAATGACAGTAATGTGGATTAATGCCCCACAAAAGGGCACTAATATATAGCACATCGACACGGTTTTGATCCTGGGGCCTCACAGTTACGAGACCATTGCTTTGTCACTGAACCATGACTGTACGCAGCGGGGGCAAGGGTAGGGGGCAGTTTCCATAATAAAAAAAACAGAAAATGTAATAAATTTTCAATAATTTATTGCATTTTACCCCGATTTTTCTAATTTTCGAGGCCCCCCCCCCCCAAAAAAAAAAAAAAAAAAAAATTAGTGCTCAATTCCCCCCCCCCCCCCCCCAAATAATAACACACCAAACGATGCTATGACAATGCATTCAGTTCACTATAATAATGAAATCAGTGCTAATCATAGAAAATTCATTCCATCGCACTGTCCAGTCTCACCCCCCCCCCTAAATAGGCCTATGTGTGCTTTATTTAAAATAAAATAAAAATGAGGTTAAAAACAATCAACAAAATTGTCTAACTCCTTTTTATGTCTTTTTAAGAAGGCTAAGATTTATGTCTTTCATTTCATTTTACATAGGGTCTAGAAATAAAAATTTATGTACTGAGGAAAGGGGAACAAAGTAATGATCACCGAAAGAGAGAGAGAAAGAGACAGGAACAGAGAGAGAAAGACATACAGAGGTAAGCGACAAAGGTTTATGATCAGACCCCTGACTTCTAGAATGCTCAACTTTGGTGTCATGTGAAATGAAAGAACAACTACCCCTTGAGGAAAATAACCCCCCGAAAAATTAAAAACAATTTATTATCAGGGTTAGACGGTAGTTTTCCGGTGTGTGTGTGTGGGGGGGGGGGGGAGGGGTAATTATTGTCCTCGGGGGTAATTGACCTACAGAGGGTAATTTTCCGGGAGGAGTTATTGTCCTTGGGGGTAGTTTTCCGGGGGGGGGGTAATTTTCTGGGGGTGATTGTCCAGGGGGTAATTTTCCTGATACAATTAATTAAAATAATAATTATTGCAAATCTGTTGTTTGGAGTATAATACAATGACGACAATTTGGGGCTGATTTATTGATTGATTATGCATATAGATAAGTTTGTTTCATTTTGCAAAGTTAAGAATAAACTAATGATATTTATTTAATAACTAAAAGACCAACTGGGAATTTCATCTGGAACTATTAATATTGTTGTGTATATACCACGAGCAGCGCACCTACAGAGTGTAATTACTGAATAATACATTTGGAGCAAGGGCCATGAGAGGCATATCAGGCGGATACCGGGCGTTATAGAAGACATTGTTATTATCATCATTATCAAGTGATTTCACTATTAAAGCATATTAAAATGAATATATTGTAAAACTATTTATTAATGTAAAGGATCACTCATCACAATATTGCAAGAAAACAGCATAGACATACCGTATACACTCAAACAATAGGTAATTTCAACACAATATTGATTAGTTTCACGCTCAGTTTTAATGCGATCTCTCGAAAATATATAACATCATATCGGTGGTACACTGAATGAATACTACAAAATACAACCATATCGATACTGTATTATTGGATAAACAGTATCCTTCTTTAAAGAAAAGTAGGAGCCTCGAATGATATCAAGCATTATATTATTTCATTTCTCATTTAATTGAGTTATTTCATGCATTTCAACGTGTTTTTTTTTAAATCAGTAATTAAAATTTGTTTCATATATTAGAAGCAAGATTATTAATGCATCTCTCTACAGTTTCGGAAGAATGTGAGCATGATGAGAGAGAATATCTATCAAAAAGTACTTTATACAGTGGGAAGACCCCCACATATAATAAAATGAAATAGAGTACTTGGCAGACATGGAGAAGAAGAAAAACGCCATCAAAGTTAAATGAAGGAAAACATTATTATGTAAGTGGCTGAAAACAAGCAATGGAGGGAGGGAGGGAGTTAGAGTATAATGGAGGGAGATGGAGAGAGAGAGAGAGAGAGAGAGAGAGAGAGAGAGAGAGGGGTGTGTGTGTGAAAACGAATGGCAAAGACGAATAGGGATGAACAAACCCTGTTTTCTGACGTAGCAGCTAATTTCCCAACGTTATCTCCAGGAAACTATCATACTCTTGAATGATGAAAATACTAGTGAATAACAGATGGAGATGGTAATTTATTCATGAGGGTTCTGTATTTTTGTTCCTCATTCGCCTAACGCATTTCCATGTAATACTTTAGCAAGCATTCCTACAAATCTAGGTACAAAATTTTGAAAAGACTTCACATTGGTAAAAAGCTTCAACAGAATAGTGTGCCACAACGACAAATAATTTATGTAAACCTCTTTTCATTCTTCAAAATTACCGTTAATGAATTTAAATCAACAATAGTGTAGGAGCATTTTCTTGGTGATGTCTTTTTCTCTCTCCAAGTAATATAATAATCGAACTACTGTACTTTATTCAAAGAGAAGAGAACAACACAACTTCGTTTGTTATCATTACAATAAATTCGAGAAATTACATTCCCTTCTGTTCATCCGCCAAGTCAATACATGAATATTTTATTTAGCTAAAAATACATATTTTCAGTTATTTACAAAAGTTCCATCATTTCGGTATACACAAACATTCGAGAAAAATAATATACAATAATGTCAGATTTAGAGACATGAAAACATATACCTTTATAACAGATTTTAAACCCCCAAAATGGTTTGCTAAACATAACTGATAACATCTAATAAAGCAGCTTTATGGTTGTAGCTTGTAGCTATAATAGTCTACATCTTGTAGAGCTAACTATACTAAAGATAAAGGTATAACGTTGTCTATGTTTTATTACAGAGGCTATAAATATGTTTTTATCGATACCTTTAGTCCTAAATCATTTATAAACCCTAACACCATCATGTCAAAAGCAAAAATTATCACCTAATGTAACATTTTAAGAAAAGAAAAATGCAGGTATTCCCGAACCATAGGTATAAATTATGGTAAGAAACACAAGTAACATTTGATCACAGTTGTGCGTATTGTTCTCTTCCTATCCTAATACATGAGTTATGAAGCGGCTAAAAGGAACAATAAATTGCTAGCTGTATCATCAAAGTGATACACTGATTTACACTTCATCTTCAAAGAATTCCTGCACACGTGAGAATGTGCGTAGGATTTTAAACATCGTGACATAATTATCGTGAAATTTCACTGAACATTTCACTAGTTATACAGCTTACACGAAACAGAGCATTGCTATTATAATCACTGCTGCAATTATGAGACGTACTAAGTTTTACCATTCTTATTTTCGAGACTGAGTTTCCAATAATTTACGTAGGTGATTTTTGTACATCCTCGGTGGAAATGGTGATTTCATCATAGTACTGTGATCAAAGGAAGTTTTCCGTACTGTGGGTTTATGTGTTACTCTTTAGTAACCATAAAGGTATTCCTTTACATAGTGTATTATTTTGTTTAAGAGCTTTACAAGTCAAGAACGATGTTCTAGACAACTTTTCCATTGCAAGTATCTCTTATGGATAATGTAACTAGTGATTTTAAGGTATACTGCAATTTCTCAAACTGTTATATGTCTTATAATTAGTTCCAATTGGATGTGGACCCTGTCTTATAGCTACAAAAAACTACATTTCCAATAATTGTTTGTGGAATTCCAATGTTATTACCGGATAACACATCCTCAATTGTATGTCGCTATCCCGAGATATATATTTACCTACTACCAAACGTGATGTTATTGTCTCTCGTGTTAGTCCCCCAAAACATATCTTCCGGTCAGGTTGTCACAGAAACTGTGCATAAGGTTCAATTAATTTCATCACGCTTCTGGTAGCCACAAGTCCATATTATGATTATAATTAATATTAAATACATTTTTAAATTTTCATCAGGCGCATCTCGAATTCTCATCCGTCATTTCATCGCATAGTCTGTACAGGGCGCCATTTCAGTTCGTTTTGATGATCATTCAACATTATTTCAAAGGAAACATCCGCTCGGCAGTCAACGTCATCGAATGCTATATGTGTGTATGAGGTTCACGTTCCCTTTGTGCATTGGTGTAATATCCAACTAATTTTCAAATGGTCACCAAGAACAACTACCAATATCTTGACCATTGGTTCCATGATTACAGCACGTTTGTAACGGGACATGGTACACCTTGACTGACAGAGGCTAACTTGTTCGTAACAGTCTGTCTTTGAAACAAGTAGGTGACTTCCTATAGTGTTCTAACTTCTTTCCCGTTAAGGCCATGCGAAGGCCTACCGAGAACAAGGTTACAGCCTCGTGTAATACCTCGTGATTTTTCATCTTCATCACGTAAAATATTCATGATTCACCCTGATACGATTTACAATAGTTGGTCTAACATTATGTTGCCGATAAATTATGAACATTATGAATTATCCAAATACAATTTTCGTAATTCATACGGCATCCGATCACTTTACTATACCTACGGTTTTCTGTAAATCAGACTAAGACCATCTCCAACATTTTGCAGCTTTCTTTCCTTGAAACATCGGCAAAGTGAGATCAAATAACTTATAAATGTACCATGTTACAACCTGTACAAGACTGTACACATAACAATGCAAAACCATAACGGCCACCAACTCAATCAAATGGCACACTTTGCACACATTCTGGCTCTAGAATAGATTTTCATTTCCCGACGACAAAGTACATGATAACCCATTTCTCTTGCTTTTGAAATGACAGGAGTCTCCATCTAAAGACGTCTACCGTAGATGTAGACATAGACGTATTCAGGAAAACACTCCCGAAGACACTCTTGAAGCTTAAGGATATCTGGACAAGGAAGAAGATTGAGCGTCATCTATGTTGCAGTTCCACTCTGGCTTATGACGCTGCATGGCAGAATCTGTAGGATGAAACTGTAGGATGACCTCTAACTGGTGCATTGTCACATTATAAATACGTCCACAAAAGTACTAGTTTTGTGCAAAATGTTCTGTTCTATTTACAAACATGTACATCAACCAATGTTCTGCACTTCCGACACTTGACGTAGCAGCACCACTTGAATTTGCATTTGCATCTTTCGACGACCTCCTTCGTGAAGGAGTTGTAGCCTCTTCCACAGCACATCAACGTGCATCCATCGGTTCCCATGGATGTCTTGTTACACTCGCGACCCGTCGTGCCCAATGAACCAGTCTGTATGTCAGGAAGACAGTAGTCTGGTGACGGCTGAAGGTACACCAGGTCATCACGGGTTGGCTTGTTGAAACGGGCATCGCTGTTCACCAGCCTGCCTTTCTTGTTGACGCGGACGTTGGTGGCGCCGTCGTACTTGTCCTTGAGAATGGTGCCGACACGGTTGAAAGGACTCAGCTGTAACCAGCATGTCTTCAGACTGCACGATCCGGACACACCGTGGCACTTGCATTCGGTTCCCGCGTTATCGTAAACCGCCTATATGCATAAAAAGAAGAAGATAAAAAGACAACCTTTAAGAACAGAGAAGTTTTAAGCGAATGTAATCAATGTGAGCTGTAGTTGGGGGAGAATAATCGTTGTCACTCAGTGATGTAGCATTTGAAAAAAAATGGTAGTAATATTAGTACTGTGTTTCATTATTTAAAGCCTATCTGCACTAGTTTGGCCAGGAGAGATTAGATCTCCCTGCGTGGTCATCGAAAGGTGGTTATCACATCAAAATAGCTCTCTATCAACATAAGAAAAAGGGGACCATGGGGATCAGCGGGTACCGCCTAGGCATTGTCGGCTGAATAGGGCGCAAGTAGCTACAAGTAGTGCAGTCCCGCTTTAAAGAGGAGAACAAAAAAGCTTAAGACAAAAATATGAATTTAGATTTATCAGTCATTGACGTGAGTGCACCGGATCTGACTGGAAACTACTGACTCTTAGAATATGATAGTAAAATAGAAAGATATCAAGCAAAGAAACAAGAATCTCTGATCACTTTGGGATACGTAAATTTATGGAACCATCGTAAAGGAGGAATTCGTTCCTCGACGAAATAGGGACGAGGAACTTTGCTTCATGTTTGAGGTATCTCAGATATAGTGCACTTGGGAACTGCAAGCGGGAGTTCAACTCACTTTTCTGCCAGTGTATTTGGTACATAGGAATGTTTTATAACCAATTTCCGACCTATTCTCTAATGCTGAAATTGGTCTACATTCATGTTGTCAGCACAAATCTTCTCCAGGTCTTACAAATTGTAAGTAGAGGCTCTTAACCCCAGTCCCATTAAACCAACATTCGATAAGAAACCCAGTGAAAGCTTGAGAAAGTGCCGTGAGCTCTCTCGCTTTCTTCCATTGTTGCGATTTACTCAACTGAGCTAATTAATCTGTCGAGAAGTTTTCATCAGCCTTCAAGAGAGAGGGGGTTCAACTGATATTTATATTGTAAACAGTACGGAGCGTTCCCTGCGGGTCTCACCCACCGTCTTCGGGCAGCCACACGTCCTGCAACGCTCGAAATCCAAGGTGGACCTGCTTTAGGATATCGGGTGTTCCACCGGCTGCAATTACTCCTCGAGAAAAAAGGTGGGAAACCTAAAACAAAATCGTGAGCGGTCACCTACTGCTGTTGCTATTGCGCGAATGCTATTCAAAGCCTTGGGTGCAATAACAAATACAGCCACTGAAAAGTTTGAGAAGGGCCTTCTCCCCCTTTTTTTCTCGAAGTTGTACCGGACCCCTGGTGGAAAGCAGACAATGTTTATGTATTTATTTGCAAACAGGTAACGATACGTAACGTTTATATTGCCAAACCAAATCGTACTCTCTTTTCTGCCATACATAATTTCACATTTCATGATTCATTTGTGACGAAATGTTCCGTAAGCAAACTTTGTTCACATCGTTCTTTGTGGTCACTGCCTCTGGGCCGACTTGCGCAATTCCGTGAAAGAGATCGGACGCCAGCCAAACGAGTGAAGACCACAACAGAAGAGCAATAACCGTGAAATTGAACTAAGAATGGTCAAGTTCACCTGCCATTGCTAGATGTTCAAAGCAGCCAATTCGTGTCTTTTGTCCGCTCTAAATTGACTGCAACAATTCACGAGGTATGCGTTGACGAAATAAAAGAGAAAATTGTCAAAGGAATACCAAATTTAAAAGAAGGGTTTCTATTCACTTTGAGGTATTCTGATGGCGAAAGGAACAACGCCGGATACGGTTAAAAATGGATTGAAAGAAGGGCACCAAAGGGTGTTTTGATTAGGAACAAAAGGATTAACACCTTCTGAAGTGCAAATTCACCTTATGCCTACGGACCCAGAATTTGAGATGTCAACTTTATTTTCTTTCGTTTCTCTCGCATTTTTTCTTACACCTAATATTTTCGTCTTCTTTCTTACCGCTTAATTCATTTTGGTACACCGTGAGACAGAAGCGTAGTATACTCCTGCGGGGTAGGGTAATTGCATTCTAATTGATTGCCCTAAGATTCTGTCAAAAATACTACAGTCAAATTTGTCACCATTGTTACAGACAGGTGCTGTCTAGTCTAATATCTAGACGAAATTTAGTTTTTAAAATTTCTTATGGTTTTTTAAAATTACTGTCGTCGTCATCATCACCGCTGTTGTTTTTGTTTTGTTTTAAAAGCGTGCGCGTCGTTTGGAAGTTCGAATGCATAAGGTCATCTGGGAGAAAAACTACGATTAACGTTATATTCTAATAATGCTTCAGATGTCTGTCAAATAAGTATGAACTAGAACGAAATGGGAAATTATTCATGGAAAAGGAAAGGCTCATATAGTTTTCATTGTAACAATGATGTATCAATGTTGATGAACGATTTTGATAATTTCCCGTTTGAACCACGCATTGTGATGGGTAGCTTCATTTGAATTTGAACTTTTGAACTATAGGTTGAAAAAAGGTTGATTTATGGCTTTGGTTTCCATTTGTGACCGAGTAATTATCTAAGCATTGTCGGCAGTACTGTTGGGGCAATGACTGGTTCTGTTTCCATCATTTCTCGATCAAAATACCATGTCAGCTTCTGATCGGTTTACAAGAAAATTCATTTCGTATTTGTTGAAGGCGTTTAAAAAATATAAATGTATATTGGAGCATTTGTCATTATATAGTGGCTTAATCAGCTACCTGTCACTTCTTCTTTTAAGAATGCGAATTAAAGCTATAATTTATTATGACCGTTTTATCAAAGGAATCAGCAATATTATTATTAGCAAGATCAGCCTTATGAAAGGGCGAATGTAAAAAATATGATGAACAGAAAAATTTATCTTTTAAAGATCATGCTTGATTATAAATATAAAACGTCAAAACGGGATATTCACTTTCTAGAGGTATCTATCATTAGAAAATATTTGCTGCTTGATAATTCTCGTTGACAGTAAGATATTGATTATTTTATTTCTATCATTTTGGACTCTTTTCCATTCCCCATTCAATGTTCTCTCCCTTCCACGATTTCTGTTGTCACCATCCTCCCGCCCTCCACCCCCACCTCACTAGCAGAGAGTGTATCTTTCTTTGTCGTCGGCGCGTCACTGAGTTTAACCGCGTTGCAGTGACAGACTGACGTAAACAGATTACCGGGGTTTAACCTAACTTCAACCTCTATCTATCTTCATACACCCCTTGTTCCAGGTGAAGGGAAACTTTTTCTTCAACTTCTTTCCTCTTCTTCTTATACTTCCGTTCCATGAGTAGTCATCTCTACATCGAAATACTTTTGTACAGTTGCGAGTTTTAATCACAATGGACATTTCTTACGTTACATTATTTTTGTCTGTGATGGCGCAATGGGAAACAAAATTGGCATGATTTTATACACCTTTATATACTTGGCATGCACTCATAGTATGGCATACGATTTTCTAAGATTGTATCCATCCGTAATCAAGAGGATTTTTCAGTGATAAAAGTTCGTCGTCACAACACGTGTTGCCATTTCGTTTCGTCACCCTTAGCCTGCTTCTACTCAAACACACTCATTATTACAAGAAATACGATGAGGTGCTTTCTATGAAGTTTATCCCCACATACCAGTAATTTCATTGCTTGTAACCACAGCAAAAAAATACTTTGCCATGCCCAAGACCCGAACTTTTATTCTGAAATCGTCAATTTTCATGAGAAAACCTGTCATATGGCGCCAATTCATATACTCTATACGTCAGAAGGACCAATCGAGGCAACCAATACGACCAGCCGTCATACTACATGCATCCACTAATCTCAACATGGATGCGAATTCTTGTGGAAGTTCTTGGTAAAATCCACACGATACAGTTTGTGACAGTTGATGGTAATGGTGGAGGGTCGCGATGGATAGGGTTAAGAATGGTTTTAACCCTCCTGGATCGCTTGCGTACACTTGGGTTCTCTGTTCACATCTGCACCAACGCAACACGGAATCCGGGTATCCATCATGTCCATGGAAATATTCGCAGCCAATCGCTACCATATTTTATGTAGGTCACTTTTCGGCAAGCTTGTGAAATATTATTGATTAAAAAGTATGATTATCTTTAACATTTATGATATAACTCGACGACAACAAACGTCACTAATATTAAATTCATTTAACCATAACATAAGCAATGGAATGTACAGCTAGGTGGAGTACAGCAATCTTACTCGAAAAGATACTACTTTGTTTTTTAAAAAATGCTCCTATCGTCCCTTAAGTTAGATAAATAATAACATTATATAACTCATGTAGGAATTATAATAATGCATATTGCATAATCAGTTTAAAGGAATGTCTACTACAAAGTTATGCAGTCCATGTCCTTTTAAAAGGATGAACATTATTGGTAAAGTTAAGTTGTGTCTTCGAATCATTCATATCTTGTCGGTGTTAACGCAGTCGTGTGAGAAACCTTACTCCGATGTCCTTTCAAAAAGATGAACATGGTAGGGATGATAAAGTTAAGTTGTGTCTTCGAATCATTCATATATTGTTGGTGTTAACGCAGTCGTGCGGGATACCTTACTTCATAGACCTAGGTCTATGCTTACTCCGATGTCCTTTCAAAAAGATAAACATAAGTTATGTCTTCGAATCATTCATATCTTGTTGGTGTTAACGCAGTCGTGTGGGAAACCTTACTCCGATGTCCGATTGGAGATAGGATTTCAAGAGGAAATTCTAGAGAGGCTGGCGGTAAGCTGGCGGTTGATATACACCTCCCACTGAACCAGAACGAATACATCTTGTTCTCACCTATCACGCTGCTACCAGTCTTCCTCACGTTGCATCAAGTGATTCCTTGAGTACTTGCATGCTTGAGTGTCGTTCAGGTGAGGATTTTAAAGAGGGAGAAGCTCAGCCAAGCTTTCTGTTCCTGAACCAATGCTCATGATATTAACATGACATGGCTTCTATGTTGACGATAATGTGTAATCTTTTAATGAACTTTTTGTGAAAGCATTACATAACTTGTCAGATTGTATGAGAGTATAAGCATGGACTATGTCATGTTATACTTCCACAAGAGCGTTAAAGTGGGTTTCAAAAATGTCTATTTATATTCTATAAGATGACATAGGCATACTTCTAGTTCATTTACAAAAATACATTTTTTGGGGACAGCTTTTAAATGTGTATTTTTTCCAACTGTTCTCCATCTGTAGTGTGCTTGGTTTGAAAGTGTTCTGACAGTCGATTTCAAAATAATGAAGGACATTATAAAATAAACGCATGTCGGTATATTCCCCATTTCCGTGATAGAAAATCTGTACCTCATTCATGCTGACAATTTTGTTTTGAATGGAAACATCTCGTTGACGGGGCAGTGCACCCTAAGAAATCAAATAAACAACCCCGTTTCCCTGACGATGCTATGCCTAGGCTATAATCGAACATTTTATTTTCTCCCTCCCGCCTGGACTTGTTGCTCTGGACCACAAAGGCCTGGGGCGCCACTTTTCATTCTTCCAGGCTATGCTCCTCAATCGATTCCATCGTGATGAATGTTGCCTCAAATAATGAGGTGATATAAAACGAAACGCGGAAAATCTTTCTTAACCTACAAATAACAAATGACATGTTTTAAATGTAACCCCGGGCTAAAAGGGAGTTCGAGAAAGAGAACCCTCCGCTAGTCAGAAGAAAAAGTAAGAAGTGAGAAATATGATTTCGATAGGTATATTTTTTCCTCACTTGGTCTCCATGGTTGAGAGAAGGGGGAAGCTGGTTTAAACCCATGGTTCCACCGGGTGTAGAGTATGGGCCAATATTTATATAATATTTGGTTGGAGTGCTACTGTGGCTGCAGGCAGTTTGCATATTTGGTTTGAGTGTAGGTCGGCTGTATATCATCAGCACTAAACGACGACTGGGAATTCTGCACGCCTAAAAAAGGAACCATTTTTTCCCTCTTCGCATTCCGGTCGGTTATTTTATTCGAGTAAAAAAAAAAAGTAGGGAAAGTCGAGCCGTACTTTCAAATTGTTTCCATCGTCGAGTCGGCTCAGAGTGACTGATGGAAAAGACGAAATAATGCTTCATTGCCGGCCTGGGGTGAAATCAGATCTTTTCACAATGATATATACTTCGAGATATATCTTAACGTTCCTAACGTAAAAAGTTTTCCACCACGACAATCATTTATTCTCTGAAAGCACCCTACATTGTACATCATAGATACATTTCTTTTCTTATTTTAATTGTTCTATCTCTTCACAAAAAAGGAAAAATATGTTCGCATCTATATTGTTCAGTGATAATTGTGACAAAATTCTAATTCATTTCCTAGCGTCAAACGAGACTATGAAAGCTTTGTCCCCCTAAAAGAGCCGTGGTAACGATAAGAAAATGTAGCCATGATAGCAGTATGCTACGATGAGCCAGTAAAATAAGTGACGAAAATACAAAACGGGATCTTTAACAGACCATATCACATAAGCTGGTGCGAATGCTGTCCAAAAAAAATGAAAAAGAAGAATGTTCAATTCTTCGGATATTATTCTCGACTAAACAATGTAACCTCTGTCTTAGATCAGTGGGGAGTATCCAGTTAAAAGTGCATCATATCTGAGCTCTATGAAATGGCCTTCCTCCGATAATGCTCATCCGATGGTCTCATGGATCTTAGGTATCTAAGAATAGCCGTCCAGAAACCTTGCTAGTGTCTTACTCATACAATCTATCAGCCACAATCCGCCTGATCGGACTTCCACAAACCAAAGAGGATTCAGTCCTCGTCACAGCGTGATAAGTCGAGATTAACGATCTAATAAGAGATATCTATCCGCCATTGTTCAGACCTGACTCCAAATCCCATCCCTTTCATCTTGTTTTATAAAGGAGAGAATGTGTACTTCTGAAACCAGGACTTCTTCTATTATGTTTCATAATGTTCATGTTGTTCACTCTCTGGTGATATCATGTAAGCGATCTAATGGAGTCATGAAACAACGCAAAGAATCCACTATGAATTATTTGAAGAGAGTAGATCAGCGGTCTGGAAAACCTCTTCATTTTTCAAACTCCAAAATGGAATAGAAGGGTGTGGATACAAAATGGAAAATAAAGGAGGGCAGCAACAATTAAATAACAAACGAAAACAAACAAACAACTGCAAGGAACCACTATTACTGGTTGAATCACACGATCTGACTTTTAAACCGTTCACAAAATAAAAACGACGTCGATACTAGGTCTTGTAAAATCCTTGGCGAATTTGGGTTTGGGAAAATAAAATGATCAGGGATATCAAGTATGATTCATCTATCAGTACGGGGTCGTTATAACGTCTGGGGTAGGAACCTCATTAAATGAAGAGCTTGATTCCAAAAGGAGCTAAATCCATATTTTATCAAAATGGAGTTATTTGTCTTAAAATAATGTTATCCTACATGGAGACAAAATGCGCTATATCACATTCGAAAATTTCACCAGGAAGTATGACAAAATTTATGTACAATATCATGTTTCATTCCAAAAGGAGCTAAATCCAAATCGGTTTCATTCCAAAAGGAGCTAAATCCACTTTGGGTACTTCTGAGGAAATCACCTTTTTTATTTCTCCACTTTCCCTTTAGCAATGTACCTTTATGTTGTTATATATGTTAAAGGTGTCGCCCTGGGCCAATAATATATGATAAGAAAAAAAATCTACCAGTTATTTGTGATTTTTACTAAATTTTTAGATTTTGTGGATTTAGCTCCTTTTGGAATGAAACATGGATTTAGCTCCTTTTGGAATGAAACGGATTTAGCTCCTTTTGGAATGAAAATGTGATATGTTGTTTACTTTCTTTTCAAAAGGTGTTTTTAGTTGCGATTTCACTATTATTATTTAAAAGGAAAGGTTTGCTACTACATTTGAATACATTTCAGTGACTTTATTGAGAAAATATGAAATTTTCCAGGTACAATATCATGTTTCATTCCAAAAGGAGCTAAATCCACGAAAACAAAAATTCTAAAAATTTAGTAAAAATCAGGGAAAACTGGTATATTTTTTTTTATCATATATTATTGGCCCAGGATGACACCTTTGAAATATATAACAACATTAAGGTCCATGGCTAAAGGGAAAGTGGAGAAATAAAAAAAGGTGATTTACTCAGAAGTACCCAAAGTGGATTTAGCTCCTTTTGGAATGAAACTCTTCAAATCCATGTTATAAAAGGTTCAATAACCGCTAGGACCAACAAAATATCATTCGTAACTATGAATATTCACGGGACAAGAAATGGCTGGAAATAATATCGGGAGCTGCCGATCTCACAAATCTACGTAAATCAGTGGGGTAGACTATAGGAATATGAAAATAGTATTTTGGGAGAACGGGGATGAAACAGGTGTAGTAAAGAAGTTAATCTTCAGTCATTGCACTTGTCCTTGCAGGTGAGGTGACCAATAGGAAAACGATGACAACTACAGTGAAATGATAAGACAAGTTGAAATAAAGTAACAAGATAATGATGAAGAGTAAATCTTATGGTAATGAGAATAAACGATTATATCAAGAGATCATTAGGGAAGGGAGGAACGAGAAGGAAATAAAGGGATTCTGTACCTTTCTACCAGCTTCATTATTATGCAGGTTCATCTTCATCCGATCATAGGCGAAGCTTCCTCGTTGAGGGTTCGTCTCCATCTCACGGGCGTCGACGAACTCCCTGGCGAAACGGAAGCCGTAGTCGATGTTGTCGCCGCATCCTCCCCACACCCAGTCCCGAGGGATGTCTGGTGGGCGTGGCGACTTGCCACACCCGCATGTTGAGAGCTGTCCTTCCCTGCATGATCGACTGATGGCGTTGACCACGCCCGCTGACGTGATCGCGTAGGTGAACGCTGCCTCACGACTCGCTGGAAATGAAAAGAACAGGATGATCGTCATATTATTGTGTATATTGTGGTTACGTGGCATGTTCTGGCAAAACGACCCTTTTCAATACACAGAATTAAATTCAAATTTATGAAAACGATTGTATGTTTTGAACGTGGTTTCGCTGACTTTAGGCCTACTTGGTAAAGCAACCGATACTTTGGATTTAAGTTATATTGCATCAAAAACACCTTGCATTCTTCTACATTGAAAATGCAATTTACTTATCCATTGAAGGACATTTTGAATACAGAAAACAAAATAATGTGACCTTATTACAAAGAATGACGATCCTTAAAAATATCGAGGAAAATCATTGTGTGTGAAACTACTCAAGTTCAATTTCATAGAAACGACATTGTCATTGAACCCGATACCATAGAATGAGCAAGGTCGAACATGTAACAGTCGCAAAGTTCGGCTTCCATTTTGTTCTTTTGGGTTTGAAAATTCGATATTTTGAGGTCGTCATATACTGGAATAGGTCAGATGAAAACGAAGAACGATTGTAATGCAATAATTGGATACATTTCTCAAGGAGAAGTATAGAAATCAGTTACTATTCAATAGGAGTGGTATATGAGAGTGTTCCTATACGGTATGTTTCTCTCACAGAGCATGTTCTACCTTGTCTAGTACAAGCAGTAAACGTATATCGGTTTATAATTTGAATAGAAACGAATATTGGAAGTGAATATGCAGTACACTCCGAATGGCAAACAACAGCGAATACTCGGGACAGTGAATTAACATGATCGCAGTAGTGTCATCATGGTTTTAATATTATAATTTTATGAATGGAAATTAAAATGAACATGTGTATATTCGCAACAAATGGCTTTATGGTCTAGCCTAGATCATGGACAATGTTGCCTAATGATAATGATTTAGAATTTAGAATTCAGATTCTTACACGAATTTCAATTCTAACGGGATCATTCCTTTTCTCCATAAGCTTTGAGAACATGACCACTGTGTTTCTTTTCATATACTGTTGCTATATTATTTCTGTACTATTATTACTTTTATTTCTATTCTATTTATTCTATCAATAAATAATTTGTAAAGTTGTAACCGCTATAAACTATATCTACCATGTCTCTACCTAAAGTGTCCCAACTCCACTTTGCACTACGACTCCTGTAAATTCGAATGACGAGAGTTAATAGCAGTGAAAATCAACTGTCTTCGCTAACATTTTGGACTAAACGTGAATTGTATGATACATCAGAAGTTTTAAATAGATAATTCATGGAATTAAGAGGAAATTTCTCAAGAACATAACAAGCGCGGAGGGTTCTTGTCATAATATTGCTGTATGAAATATCAGTGATAATCAGTCAATCAAAATGGATACGAAATATAGTCCTCCCCTTCAAACAGTAGGACACAAAGATCAAAGGGGAACGTTTCTCAGAGCATTTTGTCACAGTCTTCGGTGGTCTGAATAAATTCAAACTATATTCTAGAATGAAATTAGATATGAGCTCCGCTATTTGATTTCAACTACGCGAGCTATGATTAAAAAGATATCAGATTCACACTGAAAATGTGATTATTGGAGTTTGGTCTGGGGCTGAGGGGGAATGTGACGATCCATTCAAACTACTTGTCAACGTATATTATCATCAATAAACCAAAAGCCCAACGTCATTTCGGGGAAAATTACGTACTGTAAAATTATTTTATAGTACATACAACTATAGGACACAGACGATTTTATCTTGACTTCTGTCATGTTTGTTTTATTCCTCTTTGAATCCAAATTTTCTTTTCATTCTTTCCCTCTGTTGGTTCCATTATTTTCCTTTGAATCACCAATTCTACTTTTGTGCTCAGGTTTTATGGTGTTATCTTTGAAACTGAAAGCACAATATTTTTAGTAAAACTAATCCACGATGCATACTGCACAGTATAATATGCGATTGTTTCATCAAAAGCACTCACAAATTCTTTTCTATTGTAAATTGTGATTTAACGGTTAAATGCAGCTATCTCGAAAACAAACCATCAAAACATGTTTACGTCGAAGAGCTATACTTTATTGTTCAAGTCATTTTTGCCTCAAAACCAGTAAAAATTGGTTGTTTAGCAGGTGTGGGAATCAATAATTACAAGGAAAACATCTCGTGTCGACATTTTTCTCTTGCAGACAAAGAATATCTGTGGTTCCGGTCGACAACTTGGCCATCGTGATTTCTTTCTTCCCTTTTGGTGCATGGGTATGAAGTAGACTGTGACCTCATCTCAGATTTAGTCACGAACTGTCTGGCAGTTTCTAATCAGAGCTTGAGGCTATGATATATGTCTTTAGGAGGGCGACAGTCTTTCTAAACCAACATATACTTATACTTCCATAAACACATTGCAAAGTTCACGTTTGACATTTTCTGACACTACACCGACCACTTATAGTTAAACTTTCTTACATATAATTTGATAAATCATTAATTTGTTCATGTTAAGATGTTTTTTTTTCATCGATTGCTATGTGAATGAGAATTATCCATGTTATCCTCACCTCTTTAATCCTACATTGGCTTTTTTTCATACAGCGAATTGAGGTAGTTAATAAGCGAAAGAGCCATAGGGCTGACTCAATGTGAAGTCGGACTACGGAATGAAAGTTTGTGCAACTAATATTTGACCCGATGTCGCTGGTAGCACAACGTGATTAAAGGTAGAATAGAAGAAGAAGAAAAAGCCATGATGATATGCATGATTGAAACTGGTCTGATGAATCGAAATCTACTGTAGTTTTGGCAGGTACTTGAATACATGTCGATTAAAAAATGCCATGCCGATTAAATGAATTGTCCTGCAAAAGGGAACTTACAGTTTGTTCTTTTTATCAAACCAGTGAAAAACGCATTTCAGAATTGACAATAGATTTGTTATTCAACTATTCTCACTTTTAAGATAGGCCTAGTCGTTTAACCAAAGTCAAAGTTAGAAGAGGATTACAATAAAATCTGACAAAACAATGTATGTTGGCAAGTCCACGCTGTTGTGCCCCAAACCGACCATGTCCCATAATTTAGTATATCTGATCATCGTAGTTAATTGACAGCATTACTTAAAACAGACCATGATATGATGTAGAATAACACATTCGATGTTAATTAATGTTAAGAATCAACAATATTTCGTAACGTAAGGGGCGTCAATGACCAAAATACCTTGCCCATTTTGTCTTTCCTCAGAATACCAAGATTTAGCGATACATTTCATTCCATTTCTCCAGAACAGAGATTTCTCAAAACAAATATTTTGACTTTGCATTTGACTTTGGCTTTAAGCGACATTTTATAATAGAGTGAGATAGACCAGACAGACTCGCGAGCCTGGTAGAAAGGACAGTTTGACGCCATTACTGGCATTAGAAGAAAACTCCCCCTGGCATCCAAGCAGACAGGCATAGACCAATTGTCCATTGAGATACAATGGTCATGACAGGATGCAGTGGTCATTGACAAGACTGAGGAGGCAAGATCGAGGGGTCATGATCAACATCATTGGTCGTGTCGTGGCAATTCTGATTTGCAGTCAAGAAAAAAAAACCCTGTATGGAATCCAATTGTATGGAATTCATTCCAAACAGTTCATTCCATACCTGATTATGTTCCTTTTACCATCACTTAACATGCATTCAAGAGTCTGAAAGTTGACTCTATAGAGAAAACAAACCAGCTTTAGGGACACCTTTTGTAGTTTTGATCGACAGTTGGGGAACGCGAAGTTATTCAGCAAATAGTCAGCATTTAGATCACTGGTGAAAAGAATACATCTTATTTCAAGGATGACTTGGTCCCAATTGTGACTAAATTAGTAGACTCCAAATCCCAAATTGCACTTGCTAACGAGCCCTCAGTGGGTAGATAATACATGTGGTTTAGAGGGCCTGCCATGTACCCCTTGAGGGGTACAAGTATGGTTATTCTTGGGGTACAATATAGAACCAATGGTGTTCCAATCAATGGGAAGACACGCCCCAATGATCCAATGAGCATGTGTTGGTAATCTATCAAACGAAAACACAATAGGCTCCGGTGATTGATAGGCGAGTTTTCAATGAATTTAATTGGACCATTTCCTTTTTAAAATGAAAATGATGGATTTCGCTTCTAGACGGCATCGCCATTTTTATCATTAGTACAAATTGACTTTGGAGTTTTGGAACTGAGGTTTTTCTCCCCTACCATTATTCTTCATGACTTTGGTGGTATTTGAATGAAATTTTAGCGTAGAATTTAATATATCATATTATTTTCAAAGAGCATTACTCTCGTTATATAATTAAATGTGTAAAACGGTAACCTCTCAAAACCACTTTAAAGAAATTGTAAGGGTTTGCCATTCGTAATTGAATGACTATTAAAGGTCAAAACTATTTGTTTCATTAGTTTTTATCTGAACCGCGTTTCTTTACTTTCTTTCTTTTGTTTCGCTTTTCTTTCTTTCTTTTTAGCTATATGACTTGTAAAACAGTCAATCATTCCCAGGTCATATTGAATTTGACGTTCCATATCAATCCATATTGAAACAAAATTTTATAAGACCCGGGCTTTTACTTTTAGAGGTATATCACATTTGAAGTTGAAGTGAAGATTAAGTCAAAATTGCCTGTCATCTTGATTTTGGTATCAGTTTGAATAACTAACAGTGCGAGAGATGACACAATCTTTTCGGCATTATCTACTGACATCTAGATCATACTGTAGGCCTATATACTTTTACATATTCTGAGAAAATAAGTACTACTTCTCAAACCTCGTTGTATCATCATATTTACACAATCAGACAACGTGACAACCTCATATGAAAGCGGGATACTTTGCAGTCCAACCCAATCAAAATCTACATGTTTTAAAACTTTAAATAGATCATCAAGGAATTCGACTTGACAGGATGGTGACGTTACTCTTCTTCATAAGATAACACCAAGACGCCGCGAGACGCGAGGGATCAACGAGGCGAGTCT